TCCCCCCCCCCCCCCCCCCCCCCCCCCCCCCCCCCCCCCCCCAGTCCCTCGTCTCCCCTCCTTCCCCCAAAACAATTTACACCCACTGTTTCATACATATTCCCAAGGAAGTAGCATTTTCTGAATTAATAATTAATTTTACCTTCGATCGAACGAGTTCAACGACGAGTTTTCAACGAAATCTTTCATGACATGAAAGGACGTTTGCATTAAATACTTGGATGCCGCACTATTTTTTTGATAGAATGGATCTTTCCTGCAAACAAAATTTGCCACACTGCTTTCCAAAGCATCTAAATACTTTTTTTGATACAAGTAGAAATCTAAAGCATACGATAGCAGCTGGCTGACCCATCCCTTCCTCCTTCACCATCAGAAGCAGCAGATTTTAGTTCCAGAGTTATTTTTCACCGAAATATTTTGTGCGTCAAATTTCGGGACCCCTTTCAAAATCACAGAAGTATCGTCAGCACTGTTTTCGTCAAACAAAATTTATTATTAGCCATGCCCCAGGAGGGAAAATCAATGACGGCAACTTTGTAGTGCGGATGGCGGCTACAAACCAAAAAAAACTAGCAAAAGACAGGTAAGTCTAGGAAGCCTGCCGGAACAAGCTCGCCGTTATTTCGCGCTTTTCATCCTGCGGAGCCTGAAGACGCTCGCAGAGTCCACTGGTAAATAATTCAAAATAGGCTATCAGCGAGATCAAATTTGATCACCTGAAAGCGTTTGCCAGAGCATCGATCACGGTGTTCAGTGGTGCCTTCATCATTGCTACAAGAATGTTGAAGAACGAGGGTGCGAAACCTTCCTGTATCCCTCGACTTAGCAACATCCGCAGAATCGTTTCTGAAAGACGAATGCAACGGTAGCTGTTTCCCCTCAATCAAAGTGAATTTAAAATTGAAAAAAAAAGACCGAACTTGGATGGATTTTAATAGCACATATGAGAAAGTATAAAATGGAACTTACCAAGAGGAAAATACTGTGGCGCGGTAGTGTACTTTTTTGATAAGCTGATCAATCGCGTACCAAGGCACTGGACACGAATACCGCGTGCTTCGCCAGAACATTTAGCAAGCTCTAGAAACGAAAGAAGCGGATACTGATTAGTAATACGGGACAAGAACAGCAAGCGGCCACAGCCAAAATGATGCATAAAAACAGTAGAGCATAGGTAATCCAGAGCGGTCTCCTGGGGATGGGAGCGGAGAGGAGGGG